GCCCCAGCAGCGGTGGCCGTGGCACCTCAGGTTGGTTTCCTGGTGCGTTTTGGCCTTAATGTCTGCAGCACGTTTGAATGGCAGAAGCATCCAGGAGCACGGCATCCCTGAGGGTGTCCCAGCTGCTGGCCCTCGCCCGGGTGCTCCTGTTCAGGCGAGGGTACAATACTCTGCTGTGTTGCCCCATTTCTTTACTTTTTAGAATTAATTGTGCTTCAAAAGTATGTGCAGGGGGGAAAAAAAGGAAAAAAAAAACAAACGTGAGTTGGCTAAATCATAGGGCTGGAAACAGGAAACTCCCATTGTAATCCTGGTTTGGTCAGTAATCACTCTAGTGGCCAAGGTTAAAGCAGTCAACCGTGCGGGCTCTTGCTTTCCCATGTGCAAAACACAGCTAATGGCATCTACCTCACAGGGCTGTGATGAGTGTTAATTCAGTTTTGTTTGGAAGGTGCTTTGAATTTGAAAACAGACTTCAAAGCCTTCTGGCACTTGTGTTTCAGCTGATACTAAGCGTGGCTGTCCCATGCTTACAACAGCCTTGTAAACTGCGTAAGAAATGGACCATATGAACTGTGTCTTTGGCAGTGACTGATATATTCTATTTTTTTGTTGAAGGTTTTCATTTTTACTTTGGGAAAAACTTCTGCCAGGCTGTCACACGTTGATTACAGGTGTATAAGATGAGTAGGACCATTGTGGCAAGCAATGTGATGTTTTTGCTACACGGGAACTTTATATGCCACACGTAACAAATATATCTTGCTTAGAGCTCCTGAAGTACAGTGTACCTGTGTGAGTTCTTTCCTGAAAGGTGAAGACCATTTTGGTGCAGCAAGTGCTAGTAGATAGCTACCCTGTTAATATAGTGATGCTCGATTTTAGCGGTTTTCTACACACTTGAGCAGCAGCAATCACAGTAGTTTAAGTAGTTATTATGAATAAGTGTGGTGGTATTATGGGATGAATCTCATACCACTGTTTGCATTGTACATGTAATAAACTTACTATTTGTGTTGCATGTTCCTTGGGCTCCAGGGAACCCTGAATGCGGGTCTTGATACAATGCCTGGGATCATACATTCACCATTTTTATATGTTTTCCATCCGTATAACCTGAACAAAAGTAAAACAGTCGTTTTGCATTTGCTGCTTAGCACTTGCTGCTGTTGGTTGTTAGAGCAATGTAATATTAGGTGTCAGTTTCACATGACCAGTCAATATCAGGTTAATTTCAAAGTCTGAGGTAAGGTTTAAGATCAGCACAGATATTGGTGATCTGGTTGAAATAGTAACTTGTAGGAAATGATTATTTTTGTGGATACCTGACAGGAGTGTGCTGGCTGTCACAATACCTTGTCTGTGACCAGATTTACACTGCCACACCCTTTGTCTGTTCTGGGATGTGCTTGCAAGAGCCTGTCTAGACTGTCTTGGTGATGCCCACCACTGTTACCCTGGAATCTGTATCTGCCCAGGGCAGCACTGGTGTTAGGAACTCTTCAGGAGGGGATTTTTGCCAGAGGATGCAACATGTTGCACTATAAGTCGCATTGCTAGGAGCATCACTTCTCCTCCTCCCTCCTTTCCCCCCCTCTCCCCACCGTTGTGTGCTAAGATTTGGGGAGAAAGTGTGAGAGAAAATCCTCTGTCAGCGTGTGGATAAATGATAAGTGTGTGCAGGAGTATGAGAATGCAAGTCTAGGGGGGAGCAGTGTCATAACTGTTTAGTTACACAGGGTTTTTCCAAAAGCACTGCTTTCTTTTGCTGTAGACAACTTACTCAATTGATCCTGTGTGTCATCTTTAACAAAAAAGCTGTGGCAATGTTTTCCATCATGGTGTTGGGTAAATACCTGCTGTTCAGTGGAGGATCAGGACATGGAAGACCTGATACAAGGACATGCTGAAAAGTATTATGGGGCTGTTTTTCAGAGCAGTGTTGTGAAAGGTAGTGTCTAATAAAGCAATTGCTATTTGAAGTTGGTTCTTATTTCCCAAAATTAGGATTGGACTGAGCAAGCACAGCTTCTCCTGGGAGGTAGGGGAAGAGTCAGGCTATAATTATATGGGGAGTTTGTAGCCATGGCTGTTCCCTTTCCCTTTCCACTATAAAGCTGTGTTAGTTGCTTGGAGCATTCTCAGACATTAACCCTTTAGACTCTTTAACTTCCCAGCCTAGATTTCCCACCATCAGCTGAAACTTTTCTCACAAAATTCAGCCTGACTAGCTCATCTGTTGTTGAGTGTGTTAAGGAAAAAAAACAACAATGTTTTATCCATGTTAAACTATTTTTACAGCTGTTTTTTGACACATCCTCATACCTTTTTTTTTGCTTTGGAGGTGGAACTTAGTTTTGGCAGGGAAATCGGCCCAAGTAGGTAATACCTTATGCCATTCTTGAGAAAATCTGCCTGGAGGTGAGTGATTTACAGGCCTGCAAACAGTCTGTTTGCACATGCCTGAAAAAGTTGTTGAGCACCTTCAGCTAAACTGTTCTCCTGAAAACTCCACGTGCTGTGAGGGTGCTCCAGTTCCCCGAAGCTTTGCATGTCCTTTCCAACAAGCAGCCGAGCGGGCTCTGCTGCCTCAGCCTCCCCGAGCTTTCCCCGTGCTCCCTCTGAGAGGTCAGGCTGCCCAGGCTCTGGCTGAGAGCAGGGAGGCTGCGGTTGTTTCTTCTCCTGGTGGTGCCTGAGCAACGCGAAAGAGGGAGGAAAAGCTACTTGCTATGTTTGCAGGTATGGTGGAGAGGAGAGAACATCCAGACCTGGGAAGAGGTGAAGTTGCAAGTATCAGAAGAAGGGATGCGGAAGGCTGCACTAAGTACCCTCTCTTGGTCTCCATCTCTTTCATGGGTTATTATTTACATTTTTAATCTCAGAAGTGCCAAAAGGGCTGCATGAACTCTTTTTTTTTTTCTTTTTTTTTTTAGAGCAGCCTTCTACCCCACCCCAAAGGCCAAAACTGTTTGTATAACTCTTGGTTTATCCATTCTGGAATTTTCTGTTGTTCCAGACTACAAGACCAGGACCCCAAATGTTGGCCATCCATCTCCTAGCGGGTAAAATTATTGTTGGTGCTTTGCTGTAAGCTAGCTAACTCCTCTCCTCTTCCCTGCTCCCTTGTCCTCCCCCCCAGCTGCCTCCAAGTTGCTCAGGCATTATAATCTGAAGTGTTTTTAAGCTATTTCAAGTGTACTTATTTCTCCTAACATTAAAGATACTGGCTAAAATAATCACATTGTTTCCCAAATTTAATTAAAAAAACATTTCTCCCGCACCCGCAGCATTCCTCTGCACTGTCCAATCCCCTCGCCTTCCCTGTTATATATTCTTGGCTGTTTCCTAACAGCTGGCCCTGCCCTGGCCTTTCTAGCTCTCATCTCTCATCCCACTAAAAGTGCAGCGGTTTCAGTGCAGTCCCAAATGCTTCCCTGCCCAGATGCTTCCCTCTGTTTCAGAGAATTGGGCACTGTTGTGTGCGCCTAGCCTAGCTGGTGACTCTGCGGTGCTTGGATCTTCTGAAAAGTGGACTTTTGTGCTGTAGCTGGAGGCCACATTGCTGCAGCAGCCAAATCCTGCTGGGAAATACCAGCCTGTGACAGGGAGAAAGTGAGGCGAGAGCTGGGGAGGGGGGAAGAGCAGTGTTGCTGCAAGGCGTTTTCCTCCTGCTTGGAGTTTTGCGTGTGAGATGAGCAGATGCTGTGGATATGCCGTGGATCCTGCTTTTGGGATTGCTGTGAGAAGGCAAGACTCTTAGAATGAGCAGGGGTTTTGAAGATGAACTGCTGATAGCTTGGGTTCTAAGTATATAGTCAAAAAATATTCCAAAAAGGAAACCATTAGATGTTGGCTCCAGAGAAACAGGAAAGGCTGTAGTAGGATAGTAGCGTGAATCCAGGTATGTGGCTTTGATCTCCGGAGCTTCAAAGCAAAGTCATTATTCCTCTGCCTCATTTCCATTTTGTTGATGAGTCTGAGAACTCGTGAAAGTGAGTGCTAATAACACCGAATAGAATATGTGTAGTGTGAGCAAGTGGTAACTTGGCTCACTCACAGCTTTAATGATGCCTCTTTTACCCAGTGCATGGGTGGTTTGGGGTTTTTTGGTGATGTAAGAAAATGGAATACAGAAAATGGCATCTATGTGATTGTTACACCTTCTGTCTGGTTCCAGTTAAAGCAAGGCACTACTAAAGGGAAAAGCTAAACATTTGTTTGGGTCTCATGAAAGTACACGTGATGGTAAACAGAAAATTACTCATTTAATTCTTGGATAATATACCTGGTATTTTTATATTTTTTTGTTGGGAGATTGCTTGCTTTTTTATTTTCTTTCTTTAATGGTTTTCAGTAGTTTGTTTTACTTCCTCAAGTTAAAAACTTAAGGTGGAAGAACTGAAACACAGCAAATGCCAAAAGAAGACATGTACAATTAAAATAAGTTTTTTTGGGGAGGTTGTTTCCAGAACTGAAAGAACAGAAGTTTCTGTAGTTTTGGGTCAGCACCAAGGTAAATACTAGTAAGTTATGGAAGTTTTCTATGCTTTATGGGTATTACTGTAGACAAAACAGTACATTTCTTACTGTATGCACACACCAGTTTTTCCCCATGCCTAATTATTTGCCAAAATTGGGCCTGTGTCTCCACATCATTGCGTATTTGCAGTTTTCCTGTTTAACAAGACCACAAGCTTATAATTAATGGGTTTGGGTTTTTTGAGGGTTTATTGTTGGGTGATGTTTTGCTTGTGAGAGTTGTTTTTTTTTTTTTGGAGTTTTTTTTTTTTTTTTTTTTTTTTTTTTTTTTTTT